CCATAAAAACAACTAGGCAATAACTGAGAGACTGGGAAGGACTGTGAGAGACGCTCTCAGAGACGCTGAAAGACTCTGAGAGACTGGAGAGAGACTGAAAATTATTGTCTAGGGTATATGTATCTCTCCTGATATAAACTTTATTATTGTCATCCTTATGCAAATTAGGTGTACTTTTTCAGCTAATAATAAGTAAAACAATAAATAGGAAACTGTGTAGAAATTGTTGTTTGTATCATGGTGTAGGAACTGGTATACGTTTGGGTGCTGCAACAACATGAAAAGTAATTGCTCATTTTGTTCGCAAAGCGGCTGCTGCTGCATTACAAAAGTTTCCTTTGTTCGTATTTCCTAAGATACGTAGTGCACAGCGTTGTACATGACACATATGCATAAGTAATATACAGTAGCTGTCATCGATTGCAGCAACTGTCAGGGATTTTTAAATCAACCGCTCGTAATATCTCCGCTCTAGCTACCGACTTATCGTTAGATTTTATTTTTCGTTTAGTTTGCTTCCAATACTTAACGCCAGATTTACGCTACTCCACACTATCTGCCAGCACCCCTTAGTATCACTACTTCGAAGAAAAGATGTAAACGATATGTGTTGTTATTGCACCTAGATCGAAAGTGTTTTTCAACGTTTTTACTATTACGTTTACTAATGTTGCTCTTATCAAAGGTTATCACCAACTCAAATATTGACACGAAATAATTGTTATCGCAGTGTGCAGTTGGATTTTTTCGCGATAACGTTTGAAAGTTTTGTTTGTGCAGACTTATTTTTCGTGGGATTCGTTAAAAAGTAAATTTGCCATGAGGGTAAAGTTTCAAAACAAGTGAAGTTCAGCTGATTCATATACCAATAGATGGCCGAAAATCAATTAGGTAATTTTCATACCTAACTACATACCTAAACATATAATACGTATTATGTAGGTATTTTATATAGATATTCAGTATTACTCACGGTTAAAATGCTTCGTATTAACTTTTTGTTTTTATTAAATAATAACACAACGAAGCAAAAGTATAATAATGTTATATAATAAAGAAAAAGATAAGTAATGATTAGTTGCGCAAGTGCTTAAAAAGAAAGAATTGTTATTTTTATAGAATATGATCATGACTTATAATCGCTGATCGCTTCAACGAAGATATAGGTATAACCACCTATTAATTATAATATTATTTTAAATAATTGGATGCAATTTTATGTTTCGTTTAGTTCATTGGTAAGCCATTAAATAATTCAGGAAGAATAATTGTAACAATTACAAAAAAGAAGTATTAAGTACGATTCAGGTTTAAAGGTCTGAGTTTTAGCCAAACAAAATATTGATGTAAGAAAATCTTTATCAGTACAAAGTAATTTTAATTAGCCCGAGTTTGTAGTAAACATAATTAAGTGTCTTTAAAAATTAAATATTTATAATGACGCTAAATTAATTTAATAGCTGGTATAAGTTTGGAAAATAACGTTTCGATATAGGTGCATAACATATGCATTAAATTTTGTTTTCAAAGAAGATGTGGAAAACATAAATAGCACACGCTATACATATTGATAAAATGATAAGGAACAGGGAGTGTATTAGATAAAAAAGCATGTGCATTAATAAACACAACGGTAAATTATACTCACAATCAGACTTTTAATATATATATGTCGTAATGTACATTCTCATATCCTGCAAGACTAATATCTTTTTAGCATAATTAATTTAGCACGAAATATATTGAATTTGTAATTTAGTTTTTCCCATATTTATATAAAGTGTTGCGAGGGGTAGAGGTAGACCTAGATTAGATTACTCTTCGCAAATAGTTAAGGATGTGGCCTGTTCTAGTTTTAGGGAAATGCGAAGTTTAGCTCAGGATAGGAAAGAGTGGAGGTACGTGTCCAACCAGTCTTAGGACTGATGACTTTATGATGATGATGCGAATAGAAGTACAGTAGAATCCGTTTATAATGACATCGAAAGGAAATGACAAACACGTCATAATAAGCGGACGTCATACAAAGCATAGTCTTAGAAAATAAACAACTTTCTATTTTGGTTAGTTACTTAGTTTAATAGAGAAAAAAACTACAAATTGTATATATTTATTAACAGAAAAAGAAAAAGAACGATGAATTGTAATATCAATATACATAAGAAAGGTCGGAAAAATGAGCGAAAATGTTATTACTAATCATTGGGGTCACTATAACCGAATATGATTTGTTGAGAATCAGTCATAATAAACGATATGTCATTTTAAACGGAATCATTATATCGGAACTTTTCTATAGAGAAATTAATACGAAAACCAAACTTAATATTGCAATTACTTCATATCAAGCGGTTGGTCAATACAGGCGGAGTAATAATCAACGAATTCCACTGTAATTTTATGGTCTTGTACTTTTTAACTCCCTTTTAAAGGTGCAATAATATGCAATTTACAGTTAGTGGTTATTTAGTTACCTATGAAGGACTGCTAATATGTTGTTTTCTTTCATTGAAAAAATTTTTTTGATGATAAAATAATGTCATTTATGATATTTCTTTGACTCATCATAATCATAAGGTCGTCACTCCCAAGACTAGTTGGAAACGAACGTCCACTTTTTCCTATCTTGAGCTTATCTCTTATTTCTTTAAAACTACAACACTAACTGTTTGTGAATACTAATCTAACCTACGTCTACATCTACTCCTCTTAACTCCAGTTTGTGCTTCTAATATGCCTCTAATTAGTCCTTCATGCCTGAGAAGGTGTCCTACCTATCTCGCCTTTTTCTTATTGACCTGCATAGTGTTCTCCTATTCTTTCTACCTTCTCAGTTCTAATCTCCTCTATACACGATATCCTAATCATTCTCCTGTAGCACCACATTTCGAACGCTTGTAACCTTTTGATTTACTCCGCGTCTAGTAGATACCTATCAATAGTAAAGAAAGCGTCTTCTAGGTACAAAATGTCAATTAGTACTTTTTAACACTGAATAAGTTGACACCATTCCTTATTAATTAAAACTGAGCAAAGGAAATGTCCGATGATATCTATAGTGCTACAGATAACTGTAAATCCTACAATTTTTAATTATGAGTTATTATAAACCTATAATTTTTGAAAATTAACCAGAATGTGTATTTATTCTTTTTCCTGTCGATTCCGCTTTAACGGTAGGTATTATTACTGCCGTTTTTGCCTAGCTCCAACTCTAATCGGTAATTGAGAAATAAATAATTAAATTGAGTTTTGCTTGTTAATGTTTAAGCTTAATTAATTATGACGGCAAGTACAAACGCTTCAATTTGCACCATAAATTGAAATTTACATAAAACATTCTCCTCCGATTTCTTACTCTGATCTCTGATTCGTATATAAATTAATGATGGTCTCAAGGTTGGAGAGGTATCAGTCGTACTATTATTACTAATAAATTATGCATTTATGCCCAGTATGCTCGACAATTTAACAGCATCAACACCCACATAAACGTACTCCATACAATAAGTTACTCCATTAAATTTGTATTTACTTGCACAGTTATTGTCTATGCCTGCATATAGTGCAAGTATATTTATTGTACTTTTAGTATTAAGTACAATATCTACAACAAATACGTACAACTTCGGGCTGCTCAACATTGATTTCCTGTACGCATTTAGAGTACGCTACGGGAATACAAACTATTATTTAACATTAAAAAAAATACCTTCAGTAATTTCTACAACGATATGCTGTTGGCTGGAAGAAATATTCATTGAAAGATCAATAATTTTCAATAAGTTAATGATTATAAAATTCGCACGCACATTATACCGTACTAGATATAAAGATTATTTACGATTGACTATCAAAATTTTAATGTTTAATAATTAATTTAACTGTTGCCTTACATGATATTTATACTTACATACATACACACATATAGTTATTATAGGAATATATAATAAATAACAGAATAAATTAGTTATGTACTGTAGGAAAATACTTTTTATTTACAACGCAACCTACAAGGAGAAATCTGTGAGGACTTAAGGATACTTAAGTAGGACTGGGAGATCCTTAATATATTTTCAGCTTGAAATAGTTTTAAGGTAGATAAATAAAATATTAATCATATTAAAATTGCAAGGATTATAACTGAATACCCTTAAAAGGATAAATCAGTTAGGTACAGGATACATACCTACAAAAATATACGAACAAAGAATAATATTAACTATTGAATTATATTTAATCACTCACAAACTGCTAACTATTAAGTAATTAATATGACTATTTCATAGTGCCTACTGTCTATTGTATTAACAAATATACTATGGGCCTATGTATTCCGCAGTGATTGCAACAAAGCTGAGATAGTGAGATTACGTTTTTATATATACGTACATATATTACCTGGATTCAAGTATCTCTTTGAAGGACGCTAATCACAAAATTAAATCTGAAAACAAGATTTCAAGACTAGATATGTAATAACTGAAAATAGTCAGCGGCTACTTAAAATTACTTGACATATTTTGCGAAACGTGTAATATTTATTTGTACCTATTAACCGTGTCAATATTTTAGATACAGCCGGCAAAGTGAACAGTCACGTTATGTAACAATATTTATTGTAACTGCCACTAATTTAGGCGAAATTGTAAATATGTTAATTATGACGAAGAAACAGGAATATTTATAAATAAATACGATTCATAAAAAGTAAGGCAGAAAAACCAGTTTGCATTATTCAAATTTTATATTGCAATACAAAAAACTGCTTTATTGTATTGATTATGTCAATATTTTCTTTGAAAAGAGCACAGGAACAACAACAGATTTTCTCATTTATCTACTCAGTGTGTTTATCTCGATACCTACGGATATTATATTTTACTATGCAAATTTATTCTGCTCTACGTTCTGTGTTTTCGCTAAATTCATTTTACTTGCTCTTCTGTGTGGGGCATTTGAAAAATGTTTAATTTAAATCACTTTTCTTTTTGTTCTAGGAGGTCCTTAGAGGCAGTTCAACCTCTTTGACAATTTCAAAATGGAATCCACATCAGAAAACGCTGCAATTGCAAGTGAACAAAGAATTGTTTTAGACGAGAATTCCTGGCCACATAATGTAACAGATCCAACAGTTCATCCAGATCAAACAAACAAGTCAAACGAAGATAGTAATACCTCTAATACAAATGACGTTTTCGTACCCGAAAAGCTCACAACAGTTGAGTATATAGAAAGAGGAGATATAAAAGAATTTGTCTACACCAAATATGAAGAACGAGACAAAAATGAATTCGATCGTTTGTATCTAAGAAGATCTTGGGCACCAGTTCGTCCCAAGAGCGACATTGATGAACCGAAGAGATTTACAATAGCACACGATACGATTGGGCGAGACCAAACAGATACCTGCAAGGAACAAACAAGTCCTGTAAGACGTGGTGCAATCGAGTCATTAAAACAAATTTTAGAAAGCGAAGCCGAACAGGCAAAACCTTCTACCAACGAGAAGAATCTAAACAATCTTGAGGATAACGCTTCAAATTACAAAAATCCCACGAAATTATCCCCGGAAATAGTAGAAAAGTTGAAAACGAAATATTCGCCTTCTAGCTACGGTTATCCTAAATTGGCTCCTTTAACGTCTCCTGGTCTAACAACCAAGATTCCCGTCTTATTTAATTCAAAACCTATACCACAGCCTAGAAGTCCACAATCCCCTAAGCAAGAGGTTAACTCCACGGATTACAATAACAATAATAACAAACCAGAGAAAGAGCTGGACAAGAGCAAACCTTCTCCAAATCCAAAACCTCGTTACCTTTTGGAGAAACAGAAAATTGTTGTTACTAATATTGAGAAACGCCCGGTAAACGAGACGACAAAAAGTCGAAGCAAAGACAGCTTAGATAGCGATTTTCCTAGTGACGTATCTGCATCAGATGCAAAACGCCATCATGTGTATCTGTGTCCTAAAAGGAAAATTCCCATTATCAACAGCGCAATAATAATCAAGGATCCTCCCACCAAAGAGGAAGAATCGACTGAATCCGAAGAAGAAGAAAGAGTCGTTATAGTACGACATTCTTCATCAGAAGATAGTGTTGATAAGGTAGACGGAATACTATCGCAGTTCGTTATGGATAAGAAGGCGACAGAAAAGAAGAGAAGCAACAGCTTTAGAAGACTGTTCAAGGGAACATTTTTCGGGAGGGACAAGAAAAAAGATGAAGATAAAGATAAAAATTCCCGAAAACTGAACGATCAGACAGATGCGTCCGTTGAAAATTCTAAAAACTCCTTCGTGAGACATTCTGTACATAGACACACGGTCGATGGTTCCTACAAAACTGAAAATTTATTGAACGGCTGCGATAATTTAGGTATAAAATCTAATTCAGACAACGCTAATTACAAACGCAGCAACCACAAAAGACATAATGGACGTAGTAAAAGTTACATAGCGGATGGTGATAATTCTAAAGGCAGATCGATATTGAACGACTACCTCCCGATGGACACAGGGAATAAAGACAAAAGCGAAAATAAAACCGAAACATACATAAATGTACCCAACATAAACAAATACATCGATGCAAGCAGCTCTTCGTCAGATAGTCACAATAACACTTACGAAAACTCGTTAATCGCCCAAGCAGAATTACGCCAAGCACAGGAGCTTGGACGTAAACAAAGAAACGTTAAAAGTGGAATACCAGTTCCGTCTAATGGTAAAGTGGGGCAAACTTTGCGAAATCAAAACGACTCTCCTCAGCATTTCACAGAAACGCCGCCTAGAGCTCAAGAAACTTACCAAAATGTTCAATTAATCAAACCGAAAGCTTTGATACCCATTAATTCCGAGAGACCATTGCCAAATCCCTACCGGCATAAAAAACCAACTGCATCACAGTCGGAATCGATGTCAGAGACATCTAAAGACGAAAACCAAGAAGTTCTTCGTAATAATTTAAATTTAGAAATCAAGAGTTACGTTTCGAAATCCTATTCTTCAGAAGCGTCTCCTCAAAGTCCGGTATCACCCAACAGAGAAAATCCCTATCTAAACGATATTTACGGAGAACCTCGTGATACCCTTAATAGAAAGGAGAAACAATCCAAACAAGAGCTTGTAAAACCAGCCGTCCCCGTAAGAAATAGCTCTTTGGAACGACAAAGTGACAATCAGCAAAGTTCCTCACCAGGTAATCAATCCGTCAAGTCAAGTCCCGTAATTAAACCAAAACCCGTTAATGTGCCACTTGAGGTGAAGATAAGTCCAGTATCTTCAAAGCTGTCGGACTCTCCTCTTTCTCCTCGATCGCGAGACAGTTACGTGGGAGTTCGTGGCTCTCCAATCTCAAGGAATCTTAAAAGTCCAGTCAGCCCACTTACATTAGAGCGGACAAAATTAAAACTTCCGTCAAACAGAGAAAAAGTTGAACTGCAACCTCGTGTGAAATCGCCAATACCCAAAACGAAAGTAAGCACCGATAAGATAATTGCCACGGAGCTTCTTAGGAATAGTAAAGAACATTCCGAACAAAAGCAATCTGAACAGCGAACAATTCCGGACGGCGAGAGAAGTAAACTTGTAATAACACGAGCCAATTCTTCTACTAAAACCGCCGTTACGTCACCTACGAAACTTCCTCGGCCACCAGCACAGAGGAATATTTTGCAAGAAATGCAAGTTGATTCTCGCGAGGCGAAACAAAACGACACGAGTAATTCACAGTCACGACATCCGTCTAATTATCTTATTAATAAAAGTCAACAGATCCCTCAACAGCTACCCGTGACCCCACAAAGTCAAATAAATGTTCAGCCTATTTCCTCGTCCACTCCGAAGCTATTAAATTATCAAGCAGTCCGGCAGTTGTCTCCCAAAGAACCCGTTTATCAGTATTCCAACGGTATAGTGCCGCTTCGTCAACCAATGTTACATTCCCCTCAGCAACCAAATCAGTATTCACAATCCAACGGTCAAAGTCTTTCACCTGCGCAGTTCCAATATTTAAGACAAAATATTTATGTAAATACGAAAGTTCCAGAGAAAGTCTCTCCCAAATTAACCCCCGAAGAGTTGGAAGAAAGAAGGTGGCGTAATATGGAAGCAAATAAAAATATGTCCTTAATGTCGCTCCATAATTCTAATTCTTCTGTCGATCCTCAAAGGGCTTCAATTAGCAACTTTTCAATGTCCTCCAGCAACATAAGTCCCCGAACGAGGAGTTCCCTGCCTCCAGAAAGTTCTCAACCGAGGTCGCCGCAAAAACAGCAAATGCTGCAAAACGTCGAAGCCTTCTACTGGAGAGAGTTAAAGAAAATGAAAGAGAAAGAGGAACTTGATTTTCTAAATTACAGACGCCTTTATGGCTACGTTGAAGATCCGGTCGTATTTCATAGATCGAGAAGTTCTACGCCAAGTAATCTTCACAATTCCAGACGAAGCCTCAGCTTGCCGAGAGAAGTCAAGTCGACCAGTCTTTCTTGTCCACCGGACTCTAATATTAATTATGAAACCATCAACAGAAATGATAGAATCCAAGAACACGTGCAATATATTCCCGTTCAGAATTATCCCCAGCAAAAAATTAATATCGCAACCTATCCAGCTGAAGTGCAACCGGGGAGAGTCCAGAATCAAAATTTTGTTAGGCGAAGCTCTGGTAGAAATACAATAGGTCCCATTGGTTCAACGGCAAGTATTCAAACGATATACGAAAACTACCCAGCAGGTGTAGCCCCTACGTTACTGAAGAGGCAGCAACTGCAAAATCCAATCTTCAGAAGGGGCAGTTTAGTAAGCAATCCGTCTCCTTTGCCAAACTACCCCGTACATAATCAATACAAAAAGGTCAGTTTTGGCTCACAGGGAGGCAACACATCTCCAGCTTGGCCTACTAAAAACGGTTACACGCAAAGTCCCCCACAAAGGAGGCTCGAGCGCCAAGAGTCATTGGACGACGATGTGTTTTTACCGAACTCTCCTCGGATCATTAAAAGATCGGAAAGGGCCACCTCGGAACCTGTGTATGGTTCACGGTTTCCAAATGAATCGCCCAGTAACGTTGTTTACGGCCAAGTTCAGCAGCAAACAGTCGCAGTGGTCGCTGAATCCCCCTATGGACACGCGATTCCAAAACAGATCACCGTAACGAATAAGGTTTGCGACATCTACGGGCAAATCCACGACAATGGAGAGAAAGTTTTGATGTCTCCCGAAAACTACGGCCAGGTCAAGCAAACGGGAATCATCTATGGGACCCTACAGCCAAACGTGGGGTCGCGATTGTCCTTGGCGTCCCGCCAAAGCAACAGCAACTTGAGCGAATACGACGCTGGTAATTTTGTACGTGGTACTCGATTGACAGCCAGTGTTAACGACATGTATCGACGTTATTCTGATCGACAACGACTGAACGGTAACGACCAACAACGATACATTAACGAAACGATGAGAAACGAAAATATGAGCAATGTACATGCCGAGGCGCCCACGAGACCGTTACCTCCTTTGCCTCCCTCGAGAAGGTCCAGGTCCGATCAATTACGAAAAGCCGTGCTGAGAGGAAACCCACCAGCTTCCGACAATGAAAGTAGCGGTTCCGAAGCCGGGGAAATACAAAGGATTCTCCAAACCGATCCCAGAAATAACAGAATTAATGCGATAGGTAAGTGAATTCGCTTTACGTATCCTTGTAATTCGGGGAAGGACAAACGGATTTTATCCTAATGCCTAATAGGACCAAAGAGTCTTTGTTTTAGTGGATTATGTGGAATTAGTAACGAACCAGAGCCTTATTAAAATTGATGCGTTTAATTGCCGTATAATATTGAATTTAAATCGCTTACACTGAACAAGCAATTACCATTTCAATTACTTATTAAGGAATATTAAAAAAAATAAAATAAAATCCCTAACTTTAGAAACCAATTTTGAGACTGAATTTCTGTTTAATTTTATGGAATGCATTTTTGTCCTTCTTCGAAATTCGACGCTTTGTATTCAATTGAAGCAGCTATTAGGTAGTACTGAATTTGTTGTGATTGTCCTATGTGTTAATATGTGATTGTTTTATAATAATAATAATAATAATAACAATAAATAATTAGCAGCTTGTCTTTTACGAAGAAGTATTCTATACATTTTAAGTGACTGTAGATATGAAATGCACAAATTGCCATTAATTTATGCCTTTTAAATAAAACTTTTGAAAAAAATGAAAGTGTTTCATTTCCGTTTCCTAATAGCTTCTTCTGATTGAGAAGCGCATTATATTTTTTTCAGTGTTAACTTTAAAACAAATACTCATCACTGTAAAATGTCACATATTTTCAATTAGTCTGGTAATTATAAAGAGGTAAGTAAACTTTAAAAAACTTTCTTAAAACAAATGAATACAAACATCCTCCAGTTGTTAGAAATTGTTTGACACATAAATTAACAATGCAATGAGTGTTGAATAAAATCACCTTTACATTGACTTTCTTTTTTTCTTATTTTCATGATCTTGAGAAACTGCTGTAGACAAGTTAATAAATAAATAAAATAATTAAAAAAAAAAGGAAAGTGCTAATGGTTATGTTACCGAAGACAAGTGCAGGGTATTTTTAATTAAATTAATTTAGATGGTTTATTTTAACATTATGTGCACCTAGATGATTTTCATCAACGTGGGGCAAAACATTTTTTGGATTTCCTAAAAACGCGCTTGCATACCTAGGAAAATTTCGGGAAAATTTTTAATTTTTACACAAGTAAAGCGTTCCAACTTGTAAATACACACATACGCTTTCGCTGCGGAAATACGACATCATCAGTATTCTCAATTCTAAACAACGGAAGCTAGACAGTTGAGCATTACTCAAATATTTTGTGTCCTTTCAGAGTCTTTTTGGAATAATTACATTTACTCTTATTTAATCTTTAGGTATGTAATAATTTTGGCAAAAAGTTATTGTCAAATGTCAAAAGTAGTCTAATAATGTGAGTTAAAGCCGAAAAAAATATGTATTCTGGCTTTTGTTTTATTCTGTAATTTGAAACAATTGTAAACACTTTAGCATAGCTGCTGTCCTTTAAACAAATGAAGCATCCCTGTGTAGTTTCTGGGGGCAATACGTTAAGTAAACACTAACAGTAGGACTTCAGTTAGTTTATTTACTCTCAAAGACAAAAAAGCCAATGCACCGCAATTTTTACTACTCAAAAGTTTCCTAAGTGCGATACACATCCTTTTAACGACTTCAACGTATCCTATACGTAGGTAAGTTAGACGAGTATCCTTCTTCCATCTTAAATTTCGAAGTTGTTATTATATTGGTGTCCATGCCTTGAGAAGGGCGTAGTAATGCGACGGGTAGTGCGCAGGGCGTTCACCCCTCATGTTCACGATCCTGCCGCTAGCTGCCAGCAGCGCTACTATCGATTATCCTTAGGCAACGTCACGGATGCTGTAATCTAGTCGGCGGTGTTTCTATCCGCGGTGCACCGTTAAAAAGGTACGTCGAAATCGACGACAATGATGACGGCCTAATAATCATATTCCTTATAAAAGCCTAGCCATTCAATGTGTGAAGGTGTTGGTGATGGTGTGGAAGAACGAATACAGCGATTGCTCTTCTTCGGTCTATGCACGGCTTACAGATCCAAAGAACTATGAATCTGTTGAAAACAACCGGCATATAGTGGAAGAACTAGCGCACGGCCTCAAAGCATTTGACCTTTTTGTTCTGAATAAATATTTTGCAAACTGAGTAAGTAACGGTAAAGGCACTCTTTTTTGTGGTGCCAGCTCATCTATCTACTTGTGCTAACTCATAGTTGATTTCATTCAACAGAAATACAATTTGAAAATTAGAATTTAAAGGGAATTTTCAAAGTTTTATGCGGTTTCAATCGCGTTTTATCAAATACATAATAAATAAATGTTATTTATCTGTTTTTTAATGTTTTATAAATTCATATAATTGAAAACAATTGTAGAAAAACAACGTTTTTCCATTTTCACCCAAGCACTATTTTGTATTACCGACAAAGTCTAAAAATTTAATAAATAAACAAACGCATGTCCACTAGTACATGGACTTTTTTATTGACGAATTTGATAAATATATCTGCACTTTTAATTTGTATTTTGACAATTAATGTTAATGAACAACTTTCTCCACAAATGCAAAGAATTTAACAAACCAAGATGGCAATTAGAAGCGGCAATTTTACACTATTTATTAATATATACGATGAATTGCAGCAGTTTTCGATCAAAATTATTAATTTACATTCAGAAATTTAATGTGTTGTGCTCGACTTTATGAATAGAACAATTTTGTGGAATTTTCAAAGCTACAATTTTACCGCATAGAACAATCATTAATGTAACCGAAGTGGCGGTCAACGATAATCCGCTTTTATAATTTGTTGATGACTAGCATTAATGTCACATGACTCGCACAATTCCCGTATAGCAAAATTAAAGGATAAATTAAAGCGTTAAATCAAATACTTCATCATGGTTTCAAGAAAAAAGCTCAATTCACTTTTATTACCTGATTTATGAGTAACAATTTATAATCCTTCGAAAGGATATAATATTATATGTTCCACTGTAAGTATGTGTCCAGTTACTACACATTCGGAATATTTTTATCATAAAATTTACATAACAGGTACCTCTTTTTCTTTAATTGATTAAGATATAGTGAGCGACTACAAAAAATTATCTCGTTAAGCTTCTAAATTGGATTTTTTGCTTTTAAAAAAGAAGAATGAAATAGGGATTAAAAAAAAATTGATAGATCACAAAATATAAAATCTCATTCAACTTAATGTTAATTTTTAGAGATTATCCCGTGTATCTTTTCCTTTATTCTTTACAATTAGGTCAAAGGCGATGACAATATTACAAAGAGCTTTTCAGAAAAATGCCTAAAAATATGACGCAACGTTAAACCCCACGAGCGGAAGAAGAAATTTGGCTTTTATCATCGTAAAAATCGGTCTAGTGTTAGATTAAGTGATAACGTCATAATGTTGATACGGTGGAAAAAAGACAAGGACAAGTGTGAAAAACCGTCGAACCAGAAGTCGGCGAATTCAAGCTCGAAGAAGAAAAGAAAATTTGGAAGAGACGGAGGTAGGAGCTTTTTATGTATTCATGAAACGTCTTTTGTAAAATCATGGAAAGCATAAAATGTAATTACAGAATCGTTAAAGTTAGTAAAGCGGTTTATACCAAATTAACGATAAATTAACTATTGATTAGAAATAATCGGCCAACAGTTTGCATGTAAAAGTCTTTAAAAAAAAGAATCGGTTGTCTGTAAAGTCGGTTTACTGACGATAGTTGAACGTGACAACGTCATAAGAAAATACTGATGGAATGGTTTCATTTTTCAAAAGAAAATTTTAATTTTATTTGTTTGATAGATATTTTGTATGGATATAGAGAAGGAGGTAAATGGAAATGTATTATTGTATAGCAGCTGTCCACGCGGACGCATCGCTCACTCAAGTAGGAGAGAGACAGATGTCGAACGCTGCCGAACGCGGAGGCCGATTGTGCCTCTTTGTCGCTCGTTCCGCGCTCTCGCTTGCACTTCAAGCCTTAAATGGAACGCCTCAGAGCGAGGTAACGCCACATGAGTCATGTTTTTTCGTGCGTGCAGCCGGCTCCATCGAATTATAAGACGTTGTCACGTCAAAAATAAAATCTTTGTAATACTTCACAGAATTTGCCATCGTCGTGCCTGGGTGCAAAGCTATTTGATCTCTTTTCGTAATTAAATCTTCAATGAAATTCTAAGGCAGTGCTGATGTTTATGAATTAATCGAATTTGAAATACAGTTAACATCCTTTTGAATCCCTGCATTATAGGGCAATTACAAGTACATTTAATATAATCGATAGCTGATTAAATCATCCAATTTTGCAGTATGATCGTTTTCATGCAAGAATAAATGATTTGATATCCAATAATGTTTTCAAAGTGATGTACAGTGCTGCCTATCAAAGTTAAAGTTGTTTTTCTTGCTGCTATGATCTGAATTTTTAGCTAAATCAAACTTCCGATACAGGATTACTCAGAATAGACTTAGGTTGGCGTTATCCTTTAAGCCTCACGGGCTTTCTAACAAAAATCGAAAAGATATTGATTCAGTCTAAAAAACTACAATGAAATGTTCTAAAAGTCAGGCAAATTTAAGCAGGATTGTATAAAAGAACATAGATTCTTATTATCCTTGGGAAAGGGATTTAGCAATTCGTTTAGGCTTCGGTCAAAGCAGTATTTAATTTATTAAATATCTACTCAAAACCGTAGTAATAATATCAAACAAAGGTTTAACATGACGAAAATTTAATAATTTAAAGGAAACGCGAAAGAAAAACACAATAAAAGGCTACAAAACAAGTCTTCTTCAAGACTTAATCTGGCAATATATACGTTTAATAGGCAGTATAAAATGTAAAAAAAATAAACTGTACTACCCCTCAATGTACAATGTAATTTATGTTTAATATCAAGTACTCAACAAAGGTTTTAAATTTTCGTTTCAGACAATAGTAGCTGGTTCTTGGCTTGTTAATTACAATATTGATTAAAGTATAATCAAATTTTAAGGTTGATTACTTCCGTACGGACAAAACCCGCTAACCTATACCTAGTCTAC